CAGGCAAAGGGTAGAGGAAAAAAGAAGAGGAAACTCGATAAGGTAAGGAAAGTTTGTCACAGCCATCGGAAACTAGCCAGAAGCTTGCCGGTGTTCACTGAGTGAACATTGTGCATGAATCTGAGTTCATCTTCGGTAGGAAAAAAACACCTAACAGACACCCAGTACACAATGGGCCGTCCCTAGGTTGGAGCCACAACGAATTGTGTCACGCGTGGCCTAGTGGTAAGAAAGTCGTGCGGCACGTACATGGTACAATAGCGCTCGCCCAACTGATACACAGTGTACACTTGTTATCGTACTTATAGCCAGTGGACACGCACTCGCATGTGTGGGTCTCCATATAAAACAACTGAGCTACATCGCCGGGCCACGCCGTCATTCTTTCCATCGCTATTGGCAAAGGCAACTCGTGGCGCTGATTACTGCTGACTTGCGCAGCAAATTTCCATAAATTTGAATATGGCAATGTCACACAAAGTATTGAAGCATTCTGAACAACATGATCGATATTGGTGCAATAAACTACTTTTCAATACTCTGCACATTTGCCAAATTCATGGACAGCACCAACAAGAAGCGCATAAATGGAAATTGATACACAGTTTATAACTGGCACACATTATTTATAATTCATACATATGAACCCCATAGCATCAACAGAGATCCTAACCTAATTCATTTTTTCTCTGGCTGCGCACGGGTCCCTACAGTTCGCTGCTCAAAGCCAGGCATACGCTTGCACTCTCGTGCTTTTATGCCCGCATGCAAATGTGCTTCTGTAACTGGAGTACGTAAGACTTTATAAGTGTATGCACAGTATTTACCACATAATATGTAACAATAGTATACATATTATGCACTGCTTCTGTTCCAAAAGTCTTGTCCGCTATTCAATCTTGCTATAACTTTAAAAGATCAACTCAATTAGCAAATCTGTTGCCGAATACGGATTCGGCGATTTGGGTTTGATATGGTTCTTGGTCACATCAGTCACCACTATATAGCAAGACATATACAATCTTATGAAAAGCGTCCCTGTCCGCTTGTGTCTGAGCCTTAATTCCCCGCATTTTGTTGCTCACCATATCACACTGTGTTCCAACCCATTTCCCACAAATTCTTCAAAACCTTGTTGTAGACAACAAATGGCCGTTACTACACTCTTTCAAGAGTTTTGACATCACAGATTTCATAATCTTAGCGGATCATCTCTTCCATTATGCTGAATCTTGTTTCCACAATTCTCGATTTCAATTATTGGCCATGTTTTCAACAATTGACTCCATCCTCTTTGGCTAGCATCACCAAGCACGGTTTTCCAGACCTTTGCGCATCTACTAGGTTGAGGCTCTTGGCCAGAACAAGGTGTCCCTTGGCCATTGGCCTCAACATTCGCACAGTAGTTGTCAACACCCGCAACTCCGCGGCAGAAAAAAGCAACGTTTGCATTGCGGATTCTAATCGTAATCCAGCCGCATCTTTCGTGAATTCCTAATCACCAAGTCATACATCTCTCCTGGGGGTAGATCAGCTTGATCCGCCTCCGTCCAAGGGCAACACGAGCTGGCATGCAAAGCTCTAAGTCTCGACAGGAGGGAAATAACGTCTGTGCCCCTCTTAACATATCTCAAGAACGGCAGCGCCCTTTTCCACGCTGAAGGGCTCTACCGATGGCTATTGATATTGCACACCGAAATTGCTTCGGTCAATTTTTTTGACTTGCACGTTTTGACCACCGTTTGAGTAATTTGGATAACGGACAAGACTTTTGCAACAATATGCACATATATGCATTGCATATGTCGTGATATTTTCATTCTGGCATTCGGCACCGAAGCGCTGCTGCGCCCCTTCAGATGCTCCTGGAGCTGGCCGCATCCCCAGAGGAAGCTTCCACGCAGCGCGCCGTCGACGACCTCCTGTCCAAGGGCGCCGACCCGGACGCCTGCTGCACCCAATTCGGCGGCAGGGCGCTCCACGCCACCGCCGTCAATGACAACGCCATCGTTGCTGCGGCGCTGGTGGCGGCGGGCGCCAACGTGAACGTCAAGGACACCCAGTTCGGGGACTCGCCGCTGCACGATGCCGCAGTGCACGGCGCCGTGAAGGTGGGCGCTGCGCAGTGCCCGGGGCGGAATGACGGGGAGGGCCAAGTTTTGTCGTGTTTTTGTGTTATTGATGCTATCAGTAGCATGGACAACACGGAGATGCATGTAGCACCCCTAATGTACGTCATATGCAAGATCTTGTGGTGATCGTAGCATACAATCAATAGCGCTAGTAGCATACCAATAATAGCATAAATTGAATGCGACTAGTGGCGTTACCAACCCAAAAAACACGCTGTTGCATGTAGTATGCAATGTTGCGCATAATTCGGAATGCATGAAATGATTTTCGTGTGCAGAGGTGCGTTGGTTTGCGTGGAATGATTCAGCGGCATTGTTTGGGGCGGATTTTCAAGCCAGCGGTCGGATACCTGCAGTGGTCTAGTGGTTGAGAATTTTGTTGAAAAGGAATGAATAAATCAACGAATGGATGAATGATCAAAGAAAAGGGTAGCGCGAAAGGGAGAACTGGTACGTGGAACCACTGAAACTGCATCGGACGCAGCGTCAATATTCATTGAAATCATGCACTGAATGAATGAGTACTGTCATGTACTGTCATGTACTGTCGTGTACTGTCGTGTACTGTCATGTGCTATCACTCATACTGTCATGAATGATCCATTGCTGTTTGCGAGCATTTCGAAGCACTTTGCGAAATTTGCACTCCGAGTTTCTTATGCTAAGAAGAAGAGAGGACGAGGGCAGCATGCAGCGCATTGATTGTTTTATTCGCTGGTCGAAGGTGGCGACAGTGCTGGTCGACGCCGGCGCGGACGTCGATTTTCTGGACGATCTCAACGAGACCGCGCTGCACCACGCGGCAGAATGGGGAAATGTGGCGGTGGCTGAGGTGTTGCTGGAGGCGGGGGCGAGCACGGAAGTCGTGAACGCGGATGGAGACACGCCCTCGGACGTCATATGCCAGGCCAACTGCCCGGGGAATGCACGAGACGAGCTTGCGGCGCTGCTCGTGGGGGTGAGATTCCAGGCAACGCCAGTAGAAAACCGCATTATTGAGATGCTAACTGCCATGCCATGCGGTATTAATTGATGCCATGATCATGACAGCTGCTTCATGGACATCGCATTCACCGTAATGGCGCGACTTGTGTCGAAATGGCACTGCAGTTGGCCTCGCCAAACGTGGTTTTCTCTGTCAGTGCCACAACTTGGTCTGTTTCGCGCACGCACTCATCACGCCGATTCGCTAGTTGCGAATCGCAAAGTGTAGCCCTACAAAATTCCCCTGGGAATTTTCAGCCCCTCCATTGAGTGAATTCCTCGTGATTGCCTGTCTTGCGCGTGAAAATTGAAGACCTCTGCCCAGAATTGCGTGGGGGGGCCCGAATGCCGCATAATCGCAGCCCTTGTTCCCTTTCGGTCATTCTATCCCAGCCATGGATGCGAGGCAATCTTGCCTTCACTAGTGAAGCGTGTATTCTCCAACCCGCTATCGACGAATCAGAGCCAAAAAAGGAGCCCAATGCAGAACACTGATGAAATGCATATATGCGTGTTCGCAAAAAGTGTTATTTGTTCCTTTTTTTTGCCTGTGAGTGAGGAAGCGGTGTACAAAAAAGGTTGACTTAGCACTGCAAGGACACCTGTGCTTCACAGTTTCCAGAATGCTGCCAAACAGAATGCGTGCACAGCACAGGTTGCATGCGGCGCACATATGCATCTGCGCAAGTAGCCCAACCGCATTAGTGGTGCCATTCATGGCCCCAAGCGATTCAGTCACGATGTGCGATGTTACATGCAATAAAAACCAGGATTCTTAGCAATCAGGGGAGATTTGAGCGTTGCTGAACCTTTCTTTTAGTGTTCTGGAATGGCACTAACAGGGAGCATATCTCCTATCCTGTTGGCGCCTTTCAATAACACCAAAGTAAGGTTCAAGTTCGTACAAATCATACACATACACTTCCTCCGTCCATATTAAATGGCCTCTACTTTGGGGACTACTTCTCCATCAAGAATAATCGATTTGTAAATAAATATTTGTCCAAGTTCGTGCTTGTGAGTTTAGAAAATGTGGCCAAAAATCATGTCAATTTTAAATTACTGCGGATTTGGATCTATTTTGTAGCAAGGGTCCTCAGCCTAGTAAATGCCGATTTTCCCTCAAAATGGACCTACATTTACCACTCGCCCTACGCACCAAAATGTCAGGGCTCATTTCATCTCCTTGAAAATTGGTAGGTGAGGGTTTTGGGACCCAATATTTCCGATTTATCTTCTTTGTAATTTTGTGGCTGTCTTTGTAACGAATTTTGTCTTTTCAATGCCGCACATTTGATATGGGAAGGAGTAAGCATTTAGGATACATATCAACGACCATAGGCGATTCGCTATCCCTCTGCATCTTTTAGGCAATTTCTTGGTGAAAATTCAATTAATTGGTGTTACTTATTCTTCTCCTTATCGATATTGAAAATGCACTGGATGTGCACCCACATGCCCACCTCGCCTGCATTCACAAGTTGGAAATCGATGATCCGACCTTGTATCCTGGACCTGTTCGCAACGCCATGGTGGCTACCCAACAGCATAATTGCTGAGGTCAGTGACGACCTAGATTTGGCAGGTCTGCTTACTGGGGGGCGCGCATCCTGGAGAAATACTGCTGCCTCGCGCAGTAAACCAGGTATCCATCCAAATTTCCACAGTGTTCGTGAATATTGGGCGACTTGGCCTGATGAGAGGAACCTGCAACAGTCATGGCAAATGAAGCTGAGATCGCCGAGGTGAGGACAGACACGCCATTTTTGGGCCAGCCCCGTTCGGCTTTTTCTGGGAAGGCATCGTAAAGATTGTTTTCGAGTTGTGTGTTCAGAATGAGTGATAGATGTTGACGTGAGCTTGTGATGTCAACGACAGGAGACCATGGCCGCCGCGGTGAATGAGACTAAGGCTGCGGGGGTGAGAAAGTAAATGCCGTTGTGTAGTCTCCATTGGCCTAGATGGACATTTTGCTTGTGCACCAGGGGTCATTGGATTGGCACCTGATGGAGGCCTGTAATTTCATGGCAGGGACCCATGGAAGCCGTCAGGAATGAAACCAAGGCTGCGGAGGTGAGAGAAGGCATGCCGTTGTGGAGCTTCCCACACATTAGGGAGCATCTCCGACTTGTGTGTCCAGAACCAGTGGCGAATGGTTGACACCAGCCCTTGATTTTAACCACAGGCACCCATGGACGCCGCGGTGAATGAGACTATGGCTGTGGAGGTGAGGAAGGACAGTGCTGTTATGTGGCCTGTGTTGGCACAAGAGCATCTTCCATTTGTGTGCCGGAGTTCATGTGATGGATTGAGATAACGGCTGTTTATTTGCTGGCAGGCTCCAACGGAAGAAATCAAGAATGAGACCGAGACTGGACAAGTGAGGAAATACAGGCCATTCTGGAGCCTCTCGTGGCCCAGAAGCACCTTCGGGTTGTGTGTTGACAACCAGTGGTGAATGCTTGACACCAGCCCTTGGCTGCAACTGCAGGCACCCATGGAAGCCACAATGAATAGGACTAGAGTTGTGATGGTGAGCCAGGATACGCAGGCATGTGGCCTGGATTGGCCCGGAAGTATCCTCTGTTGTCTCGGCAGCATCCATGTAATGGATCCTGACAGCGTCTCTTCATTTGATGGTAGGTGCCAGTGGAAGTCAAAAATAAGACTGAGGCTGCACAGGTGAGAGAAGATATGCCATTCTTGGACCTCTCACAACCCAGCAATATCTCCGAGTTGTTTGCTGACCAGTGATGAACATTTAACGTCCGTTTTGATCTTAACAACGGGCATCGATGGAGGCCACAGTGAATGAGACTGAAGCTTCAGCGGTGAGCGAAGTCCTGTCTTGTGGGGATTCCGATGGCCTGCAACACGTCGTTTGGAAAGTGTATTGTGTGTCAGGGGTAGATATCTTACATCGGGGGCGCAATTGAAGACAGGCAACCACGGAGGTCAACGGGATGGGAAAGAGGCGCCACTCTTTTTGCCTCGTGCAGCACTTGGAATGTCTCCAGAATCTGTGTTTCGAGCTAACGGCGCACTTCCTATGCCACCCGCCATTTCAACGACGGGAATTCATGGCGGTCGCAAAATTTAAGCCAAGACAACTGCTTTGAGTCAGAAACTACAATTTCTAAACTGCAAAGTCTTCTCAAGATGTGTATGCGACGATTTGAATGATCGCAGCCCACAATACTTGAGTTTCCGTTTGTCGACAGGAACCCGTGGCACCGACAAAGAATAAGACTGAGTCTGCCCAGGTGAGGATGGAAGCTACCATCTTAAAGCGTTATAGGTATCTGACAGTACATGTTTAGCAACACCCACAGCAAACGCCTGCCAATCATGTGTTGGGATGCACATGTTGGGAATCAGAAATGGAGGCTTGACATCCACTTCTGGATTTGGTGGCCGGGACCCATTGCGGGCAAAAGGAACGAGATCGAGCCTGCTGAGGTAAATGGAGAGCTGCAAATTGCATGTATCCCATAGTCTGGAAAGTATCTTCGTACAGTGCTGTGCTGAACTTTCCATTTCTGAGTTATGCCCATGGGATTCAGAACGCGCAATGGACACCAGTGCTTTGTTGCCGATATATATCATATATGCGCCTTCAACTGAAAATGCCACAGACATAAACGGAGGTGATCCATGAGCAGTCGATTCTGGGTCGGCGTAGCCTGCGAGGCATGTGAATGTCGTGTGTGACAACTAGCTGTGAAAGTGTAAGTCCTTCTATTGGATGCCACGCAACCATGACACCTGCCGAGACTGAGATCATGCCAGCCGATGTGACGGAAGACCTGCCACCTTTGGTGCAACACAGCAGCGTTCGGCTAAGCACTTTTCCTGGCATGACAGTAGTCTATCACCACAGCCAAAACGGTGTTGGTGTGTGCAATACCCCATTTGCGCCGTAGTTGACTCAATCTTGAAATATGCTCTAATTGGGGTTCGGGAATCTGAGATGGAATTTCGATATTGAATTGTTTGTTTATGGCAGGCGCCTGCGGCCGACACGGACAAGGAGGCCGAACTCGAAGAGGTGAGTGAGTATGCTCCAGCACACATCCAATGCAGCACGGATGCCCGTGCCCCCAACCAGGGAACGTGATCTGAGCTGTAGAGTGTATCACCTGGCACGATCGATCAAATGCCAATGGTAGGGGAATGAGTTTGGTAGCAGGCACCCACAGCAGCAAGGACGAATGATAAAAACGCAGTTGAGGGGAGGGAAGTGCTCCATGTACATGACCCCACCACCCACCATCCACACACCCGCACACACTTATCAAGGCTCATTTCGTCTGGAATCGAAAATCCAATCACTGTCAGGATTCTGCTGTAAATTTGCTGTTTCCCTCTGCCGCAGTAAATACCACAGTGTTTTCAGCAGCTGACGAGCACATCCAGTTGTCAAATCCTGCATCTGGCAGAAACAAGTTTAGGCAGGATTTTTTCATTCACTGCCCTGTGGGATCCGCACTGCAAGACCTTGTGTTCTCATTTTCGTGAGGTCGTCGAGTGCTGACTAGCGCTTGCTCTGTGTCCAGGACTCCCTCCTCTCTGAAAAATCACAGGAGGAATTGGACGAGGTGAGTTGGTGGCGCTATGATATTCGACAATGATCAGGCAAACGCTCCTTGCAAATCGTTCCTCCTGGCAAAACTTCCCGCAAAGAGCCATGTGAAGAAGGGCACCAATGCATCGAACGAAAGCTGCGCAGAATGGCCCGTAGTCATGTTCTTGTGATTGCCGATAAGAAATCGCTGAACATCACATCCATTCGTGGAACGAGCGTACGTTCGATCGATTGCTTCCTTGCCTTGTTTCGCACAACAACTCACGATGACGCAATGCGTGCGTTCAATTGATCGAGGCACCCCGGAACAATGCCCGACCCCTGCGCAAGGATGACGAGGCCTGTGCTCAATACGAAGACCTTAGCACCAAGACTTGTATACCATCCCCTGCGCAAGGATGGCAGACTCGTACTTGGTACTGATGATGACGACTTCTCTTTGGTCCCCAAGGCACTTGTGGCCCTGGCCGGCGGCGCCGAGAACGCCTCCACAGCCTCGGCCGTCGCGGCACTCCTCTCCGCGGGCGCGAGCCCGGACGCCTGCTGCACCATCTACGGCGGCCGCGCCCTCCATGCCACCGCGATCAACGACAACGCCATAGCCGCCATTGCCCTCCTGGCCGCCGGCGCCGATCCGGATGCCACCGACGCGCGCTTCGGGGACGCCCCCCTGCACGACGCGGCTGTCCACGACGCGGTGAAAGTTGCCCGCGCGCTGCTGGACGGCGGCGCGGATTTAGACCCGCGGGATGCGAATGGGGAGACGCCGCTGCACCACGGGGCGGCGTGGGGGGGCGTGGGCGTGGTGGCGGTGCTGCTGGAGGCGGGGGCGGACGTTGGGGCGAAGGGGGCGGACGGGCGGACGCCGGGGGAGGTGGTGTGCGAGTCGCTGTGCGCGCCGGGGGACGAGGGCAGGCTCAGGGAGCTCCTTGGCAAGGTGGGATGTACACCCATAAATGTACATACAGCATGTAGCAAGTTATTTAATTAGATAGATGTATACATGCATTCAGTTGATAGATAAATGTATATACAATCAGTTCGATAATGTGTAGCGCTCCGCCCGCCTTGATAATTTGATGATCAGTAGCGTTCGGTTGAACTTAAGCACCGCTCCAACCAACAGTGAAGGTGGTGCGCAAGTCGGCATGCACGCCGGAAGACGAGGGCTGCATGGTCAGGTGGAAGGATGTTGGGTGTACACCCATAAATGTACATACATTTAGTCAACTAAACAAAAGTACTTACATTTAGTTCAAAAATGAGTAGCGTTCCGCCCACCTTAGTAATTTGGTGATGAGTAGCGTTCGGTTGAAACTAAGTATCGTCCCAACCAACAGTGATGGTGCTGCGCGGGTCGCTGTGCGCGCCAGCGGACGAGGGGAACGTCAGGGAGCTTCTCGGTCAGGTGGAAGGATGTTGGGGGTGCCACAGACCACGGAGGATTGCGTGGAGTGTGCTGAATGTCACTGTAGCCCTTAGACAACGCCCCCCGTGGTATCAAACACTGCCACTGCTGCACAGCACAGGGGTAATGTTAGGCAACACAGGGCTGTGCATCTCCCATGGTGAGACGTCCTCGTTCACCATCAAGAGATGCAGCCACGCATTGCAGGGAGTCGCAAAAATGTTATGGTGAACGCCCTCCCGCTTTTGCTCTGCTTGGCGTCCTTTTTAAAATTATTTTTTTTACTTAATTTTTATATATTTTTATTTTGTACATATTTTATAGATTGTATTCTTTTATTATTATTTTAAACTGGTTCTTATTGTGTTAAATTGGTCTGGTGGTCATTGCGCCAACGTAAGGGGTTTACAGATTCCCCCCGCGTTGACACTGATGCTTGATGCCGGGGGGGGGGGGGGGGGGCTATCCTCTGTGATCTACGGTATGATTAAATTGATAATGCGAAACGTTCCACACAACTTCACGTGGCGCACGAGGCGCTGTGCCCGCCGGTAGGCGAAGAGAGGCTGAGGGAGCTGCTTGGTCCAAGTGGGAGGACGAGCATGGCGAGTCGGGGGCTGTTGGGCCCCAAGGTTCCGGTGCACAACCCGGGATAGCGGGCGCGCTGTTGATACATCATCGCATTTTCTTGGGTGCAATGCACGTAATACACGTGACTCGTAATTTTGTGTGCTGGTTGTGCACCATATGTGCTGGTTCAACCCATTCGGCTGCCTTTTGTACATTTGCAGAATAGCCAATTGAATATTACCATGTGGCTTACCACATGAATATACTGAATATTACCTGGTGCGGACCGATGTGCAATTCACTATGCAGGGATCGGCGCAGGCGACGGCCCCTCCAGAGCCCAAAGCCCCCAAACCGGAAACCGCAGAACCAGAAGCGCCCAAGGTAAAAAGAGACAAAAGAAACGTGCAAGCTGTACTGATTTTCCCCGTTGGCATGCATTGGAACGACAGAACATTTCGCAGGCAGCTTGAAGACTGTGCGGAGTGTTGTTCCTCCGATCATGCGCGCCTGCATTAAGAATCGCCTCAAAACAATTTGGGGACGGTGTGATTGTGATTGGCACCCATGCTGCTATCAAATGCAAACATTCCGCATGTTGTGCAACTGCCAATAGCCATTTCAAGGATCAATGCGGGGAAGCCTGGGTGCAGCATCGCAAATTGGTGTGTATCAAGTATTGGTGCATTCATGCATGCTTGCAAATTGGCATGGAGATATTTCTCTGACTTGCTCTGCGCAGCATGGGGCACAGAAGTCCTTTGCATGTAAGCTCAGTTGAAGTGTCTGCGCATGGTGCTTGATAGATTTCGGCAAT